CTCTCTCTCTCTCTCTCTTTCTTTCTTTCTCTCTCTCTATTGTAATTATTAAATTCTTAAAATATGACCAATGGTTGTGTTTGCGTTAAACACGTGTAGAATTATAGACTAAACTTTTGAATAAAAATAAAAAACTTTCAAATTAAAAAATAAGTTATAATAAATAGTGTTTTATTTATTGTTTAGTTGTGTTGCGAATCGTTTGCTCGCCGTTTGATTGCAGTGAAGATGAGTAAAGAAGTGATCGCTGGACTCAATCTGACGCCCGAACAGCAAAGGAGCGGAGCGTTTGGCAAGAGTCCCAAATGTGCCCGATGTAGGAATCACGGCAACGATGTCGACCTCAAAAGTACCACCACTACAACACTGCGCCCATTATATGCGCCCATATATTGACTCATATTTTGTTGATTTTACTATTTGGAGGTCACAAAAGAAAGTGCCCGTGGAAAGCGTGCAATTGCAGCAAGTGCATTTTAATCGTGGAGAGACAGAAGATAATGGCCGCACAAATTGCGCTCAGAAGACGACAACAACAACAGGAGGACGACGTGGAGATGGAAATGGAAGAGACAGACTCTTCGCCAACTCATCACTCGAACGCCAATCAAACAAATTCACAGCAAAATAGTGCCAAAAGTAGTGCCGCCGAAGACAGCACTTCAATAGACACCGATTCCGGCCGAGAAACTGATATAAAATCTGAACAGTTAGACGATTCTTATGATGAAAGTTAGTATTTATTAATTAATAGTGTTATTATTATAATGTAAATACATGTATGTATGTATAATAAAATATTGTAAATGTTTTACTGTTTGAAACACATTAAACAGATTCGGAATCGGATGAAGAGATGACCGATAAAGTGAAGAAATTAATTGAATCAATGAAACGTCGAGGAATTGATTCAAATTCTGTCACATTTTACTTATTGTATACAATACTTGACTGCAATAACGGAAGTGTCAAAAAGTCGACCGAAAGAATATTTCAATGTAAGTGAAGGGTATTTCATTCAAAACAACTCAAATTATTTGTGTTGCAATATATTTGTCAATTTGAAAATAACGACACTATCATTGCATGTGATAAATATTGTATTTATTTATATTAATAATTTATTGATGTGTTGATTAAGCAGCCATTTCTAAAGTGAATCAACATTTGATGGTATCTGTCAGTAGATTCATACCTAAGGGCAATAAAACAAAGAGAAAAAGGCATTCAGAGGAGCCATCAATTCATTCAAACCAATCCATAAGGAATTGCAAATCACCACAAGTTATTACTACTAATCAAACCCATGTATCCACCACTCAAACCACTCAAATCAATCAAACAAATCATTTAACAAATACATCAGCAATTCATACAAATTTACCAACTATTATGACACCAGTGATGCCATCCGTCATCACTGGTTCTCTTATACCGCCGATGACATCTGGTATATCATTCAAACCGAGTTCATCGATGGGTTCGCTGTTATTTGTGGTCAAAAGTAGTGCCCCGAATCAGATGCCACTCATTTGCCCTTTTGTCAACAGTAATGACCCAACGAATGACAATTGGTGTGATCTCATGAAACTCTTACCCCCTTTGCCACCACTGAGACCGCCGCCGGTCACCAAATTATGTTCGTCGACGGTATCGACGGCCTCGACATCACCGGCGATACCATCAATCGATTCGACCATCACTTCTAAAACCAACTCAACGTATGAATGGGTGTCTCAATCGGAGGATTTCATGAATATCAAATTAAGCTCAAGACTTAATGCTAAAAAAAGTATTAATAATCCGTCAAATTATTTTAAATGATTTTATAAATGACTCTATTTTGAACAACAATTAGCACAACATTTAGCACAACATAAAATTCTTTTGATTTATATTTTTGTACTTTTTTAACATACATATTCAATATTATAATTGATATTAATATTACAATTGGTTGTAATTTGTTAAGTATCTTTGAACTTTTTGTATGTTTTTGAATAAAACAATTATAGATATATTAATTGTCATTTAAAATGAAATCTATTTTTAAAACTTGTTTTAATAAGTATTAAAATATATTAGTTAAACAATGCGATGTATAACATATATTTCACACTTAAGGAATTTTGTTATATTTATTAAAATTGTTTTAATTTATTCATAAACTATCGTTAGTTTACAATTTTGTCTTAAAAAATATTAATACAGTTAAGACGATATAATATAATGATCTAGCAATATATTACAATGACTAAACTTAATTTTTATAAATTTTTGTCCTTGGTTAAATGTTTATAAGAAATAGATTATTTCATTTGCTATACAAGTACACAATAATTATTTTCAAGACTGACGACAATATTGTTTTAGAGCAGCAATTATTTGTGACAAAATTTTCATTCAAGAATGTCTGTTACATACGATTTCACGGGTAAAGTAGTGTTAATCACGGGCTCGAGTTCGGGTATCGGTGCGGCCACTGCTGTCCAATTCGCCCAATCGGGTGCTAGTGTTGTGGTCACCGGTCGTAATGTCGACACTGTCTCAGATGTGGCCAAACAATGTCTGAAAGTATCGCCGAAAGGGGTTAAAGCACTGGAAGTGACGGCAGATGTGACCAAACAGGAAGACCTCCGGCGACTCGTCGACCAGACTATCAAACATTTTGGTAAACTTGATATTCTGGTCAATAACGCGGGCGCAACCATTAAAGCCAATGTCACTGATAGTGATTTCTACCAGAATTACGAGAAAGTAATGGCAATTAATCTCAATTCTGTGGTCTATTTAACCCATATATGCGTCGAGTATTTGGAGAAAACCAAAGGAAACATCATTAATATATCGAGCGTTGCAGGAATGAGAACTGTAAATACATTTCAACCATGATAATTAAATATAGTTTATAAATATCAATTATAATTATATATACAATTAAAATTATAACAAGTCCCCCAACAATGGACCTTATTGTATGGCAAAGAGTGCACTCGACATGTTTACCAAGTGTATGGCTGCTGAGTTGGGAGCCAAACGCATCCGGGTTAATGTTATCAAGTAAGTTAACGCTAATATCTATGAATGTAATAATAATAATAATAAAACCAATTGACCCCCTCTTAGCCCCGGACCCGTTCGCACCAACTTTACAACCTCTTTGGGAATGTCTCTAGAAATGAGGGACAAAGTGATGGCCGCCTTCGGGAATGTCATTCCTGTTGGTCGTGTGGGAGAGTCCGATGATATCGCTGACAATATACTATACCTGGCCAGTGACCATGCTGCTTTTGTCAACGGCAGTCAGCTTGTATCAGATGGCGGTTTGGTTGCTTCAAATAATCTCAATTTTGATCTCGTTAAGAAATATATGGAATAAATCAGCATAATATTTGTAATTGACTGATGTATTTAACGTGTATTTTGATGTTTTAATTATGCTAAAATTATATTTTCTAATCTAATCTAGATTCTAAGTTTAAGAATTTTTTATTTAAACATTAATAACACTTATAATTTATGTTTGAAACAATTAATAAAGTTTTATTAATTTTTAAATTAAAAAAGTGCATTATCAATAATAATTTTATGTGATTCTTGTACAGAGAGTGCAATTATATCGAGGTAGATTTGCCGTAGTTTTGGTCACATGCAAAATATGTAAAATTCACTTATAATTGCGTGTAACTATATACGGCGTAAACGGTACGAACACATTATTGTCTGCATTTCACGTCACAAATAACGATACAAAATAAACACAAACTAAAGAAGTTAGAAATGAAATGTATTTTTCTTATACTTCACACACGATTCATACAATTTCCTAACGGATAGATAACATCTAAACGTCTTTATAATACACTATCAACTCATCTCACGATGACTATCAATACCATTGGATAGTATGACTTATACTGTCTATGATATACAGAATCGATTGCATTGCAAACCATTCATAAACCCATTTATATAAGTTATATATGATATGAGAGAATAAACAGACAAATAAATGGAAGAAAAAAACAAAATAAAAAGCAAAGTAAAGTAAAAATATTGTGTAGATTCTGTGCGATCCTTCGCTAAGCGTTTTCAACATAAAGTACTTATTCAATACACACATAGACTTTGTATTTTGATTGCAAGTTATACACAGTCACAGTGTTTGGGTATTTGTCGTTAACAAGAGCCCAGCCATTCATTCATTCATTCATTTGGTCATCAATTTTATGCCACGATGAAGAAGAAGAGTCAGATGAAGAGACTGGCCTTCGTATGCGAAACGGAAACCAAAAAACAATCCCTTAAACATGTGAATAAAATAAAATAAAACATTATATAATTTTATGGGTAACCATAGATACCAATGCTTTTTGGATTGGGATTTGGGATCAATCGATAAGAAACTCCACACATAATCACAGACACTATGCTATATACCAAATATACAGTACATGTTGTAAAGTATAGTAGATTCTGTGTGTAGACTCGTATCCAGTGTTAGCTCAGTAGTAGTCCGTCTCTCTCCTCTCCTCCGTCTCTTTTCTTCACGGATTTTGTGCTAACAATACATAAAATGATGTCTGGAGTGGCTTTTGGACGACAATTAACTATCTATGAACTGAATTCAATGTTTGTCATCAATGAATATCTGTTTAATTTAGTTATATATTCAACAATTTAAACCGATTCTACAATTCTTATAGTGATTATGCAATCAATCATTAAAGTGGTAATTATTGTTAATTTATCATATTCTTATAAGAATTCTTATATATCCAGAATATTCTGTATATTCTATGTGTGAATATATAGAAACCCGGATGTAATTGGAGAGCCTTTAGAAAGGCTGCGGGTGTTTCTTAAGTGCACTTCACTATAATTTAATCTCTTATCCTATTGTATGTTTCGCCCTATTCTTTGACAATATCTTGTATTATAATATAATATCGATGTTATCAATGAAAGTGATGAACACAACAACAAAAAAAACCACTTCAATCGATACCACCGATTAGGGGTTCATTGAACCTAATATTATCATTAAATTATACCCTATTGTGTAACAAATGGTTTGAATAAATAATTTAAAATAAAATCCTAGAATTTACAGTAAATACCAAAAACACGTCAAATAATTAATCATAAAATAGATGTTATTTATAGTAATTATAATAAAATTAACTATCATTTTGTAAAATACAAAATCCAATTAATTGCTAACAATGTGATTGCTTGTGACAGGACGACAGACCCACTCGTGACCCGTGGGACTCGTTAAGCTGGTGGGACCACTCAGACCAGGCGCGACGCATTGAGCGCGAACACAATCAACAGCACCCCAACCATCAGATTCGGGTGGAAGTGGTCGACACGTTGGCCACCAATGAAACCATAGACACTATATTCAATTACGGCCTTTTGGTCATACCGTCGCTATTCCTGGTGAGCGCCACCCTATGGTGTGTCTCTCGATTCCTGTTGCGGACAACCATTAGTCTGTATCTCAGTTTCGGTGCTCTGTTGTTGGCCTCCGTGGCCAGCGTTGCGTTCGTCGTATTCGGTCTCATATTCCTCATCGGCATGTGTTCGGGCTATAAGTTTGAATACCATTCGGTGGAACAGTTGCCCACACAGACCAACAACGCCAACGGCGGGATCGCCGCCAACTTTACTAACTTTACGGTCGTCTCATTGCCGCCGCAGTCACTGCCGGCCGCCGACAACTGTAACCAATTGCCAGCGAAACCATCGCTACAATCGTCGCCCAAAGAATCGCCAAAAGAGTCGCCGAAGGAGTAGTGATTAGAAAAAGCGTTTCATTCGCACACAAAACACAACACATCAGGTCTTTCATCAGTTTTGAAGCCAAACAACAGACCATTAATTAACAGTAAAAATGTGTAAATAGTTTCACAAAATACAAAACATCACAACAAAAATGTATAGAAATCTGTTATAATAAATGAACATAAGATTAGTTATGAAATAAAAGGTTTTAAAAATTACAAAACAATTTGTTTTTGTATTGTTTTTTATATACAAATTAATTTCAATTAAATTTAATCTCAAAATAAAGGCTTTAATTTCAAACAAAAGGAAGAGAAAAAATATAATCATTATATCAAAAAAGTGACAAAAAATATAAATAATGACTAAAAGACACTTTCAATTCAATTAAATCAATACAAAATGCTATAAAAAACACAATTTAGGGGTTAAAGTGGTGGCAGCGGTGGCTGTAGTGGCGGCTGAGGCCGAGGCCGGGGAGCGTCGGGCGGATCGGGCAGTAGTCAGAGCTCGGCCTTACGGTTCTCGATCTTCACGCACTCCACTTCGAACACTAGCGGCGCGTTCGCCGGTATAGTGGGCGGCGCTCCGGCCGCGCCATAGGCCAGATCGGCCGGTATAACGAGTTTGCGCTTCTCTCCCGCACACATACCCAACAATCCCTGATCCCAACCGGCGATCACTTGTCCCATACCTAACGTGAACGTCAACGGCTGGCCTCTCTTGTAGGAGCTGTCAAACTCGGCGCCCGTCTCATACAAAGTGCCCTATAGTTTGTGACAATCAATCGCGTTAGTGATATACATGTGACATGTGATGGCACTGTTGTGGTGATCGCTATAGCGGTGACCATCACTACTGACCCGATAGTGGATGTGAAGAATGTCTCCCTTAGAGCTCTTGCGGTCGCAGTTGTCGGCCCTCTTCTTCACACCGATCTGTAGTTTCTTTACCTTTTTGTCCACAGATTGGCTGTTAGTGTCGGCGGCTGTGGAACCGCTGGTGTCCTCTTCGGCGGCCATCGTCTCCACGACAAGCGTTTGCGTCAGACATAGGATTAGCGCTAATCTCAACGCGTTTGGCGTTAAATAGCATTTGATATTCATTTTGTGTTTAGTTTTCAATTAATAAATGGATTTAAAAACTAGTTTTCAATAAACAGACAATCAGTTTGTGTTTGCCTTCACTTCACAGCCAATCACACAATCAATCGCTTCGCTTACAAATCATCACAACTGTTACACCCATTCGTATAAAGCGTTACTTTATTTCGAAGGGTTGGCGAGTCTTATAAGTGCTGTCCATTAGCTATAATGATATACTAGTTATGAGGGGTTCTATTGTATGCATATTATTGTCACGTTGTATACAAAGTGCTCACTAAAAGTGCTAACAAATAAATACGTCCATTAATTATATAAGTTATTGTATAAAGTTTTTGACCTAAAGATTAACAATAAATTGAATATAAAGTAGAAAATTAAGGCAAATATTGAACGAGATATACATTTATATTGATTTTGTCAACAATTAATCGATTATTGACTTAACTTAAGCGAAACGAGCGCTCATTATATGGGACTCTAATTGTGGCCAAAATGCAAGTCATTTAAGATGTTATAAGCTATTCATAAATAGTGTTAGATGTAGGTATGGGTGGGGAGTAATTTGTGCTCATTGAAAATTTATTTACAAATATATTTATAATCAATTTTATTAATTTAATCAGTAACTATAATTATAATACAACGTATTGTAACTAAATCATATTGTTTGTTTAAAAGAATTGCCCTGATAACTATTTTAATAAATAATCTTGTTGACCACAGGGTTTGTGTAATCAATGAAAATAACGTAACGATATTTATGAACGCGTGGATAGACTCACAGCAAAAATGCATAACAAAACAAACACCAGTTTTTGATGAATCAGTGATTTTTACAAACGATTTACAGAAAAACTTAATTACAATTAAAAACTAAATCAAAACAACAAATCTATACATAAATCTCAATCACAACTCTCTGTAAGACAACAACACATCCAATGGTAAGCAATCATACAAAGCATTTGATCCCATAATCAGTCAATCAATGAAACCAAAAGTCAGGCAAAAAAAGTTGCCATAAAATGACCGCAACTAAAACAGTGGCCACTAATTAACGGTAATGTTTGGTGTCTTTGCTGTGGGTTAGGGTCAGCAACACTCGGGCGGTTCGGGCGGCGGAGGCGGCGATAAGGACAAGAAGGGCCAGAAGAAGGAGCGGTCGGCGCCGCCACCGATGCCCACAATCAGAGGCCGGCGGCGTAAGGGAGGCAAAGGGCCGGACAGCGCGTCCAAACTGCCGGCCGTGACTCCGCACTCGCGGTGCCGATTGAAACTGTTGAAGTTGGAGCGCATTCAGGACTGGCTGCTCATGGAGGAGGAGTTCCTCAAGAACTGCAACGCAGCCATCAGTGCGAAGGCCGCCGAGAAGGACGAGAGCGTCGACGAAGAGCGCAATAAAGTTGATGACCTCAGAGGTAGGCCACCCGTGAGGGGCACACCCGCCCGAGTTGTGTCCCATTCGCTACTCGTGTGGATTAATGTTTGCTTTTATTGTTTCGCTCTTCAGGAACACCGATGTCTGTGGGAAATCTGGAAGAGATTATCGACGATAATCACGCGATTGTGTCCACTTCTGTCGGGTCTGAGCACTACGTGTCGATCCTGTCGTTCGTGGATAAGGAGCAGTTGGAGCCCAACTGTTGCGTTCTCCTCAACCATAAGGTGCACGCAGTGGTGGGTGTCCTCAGCGACGACGTCGACCCTATGGTGAATGTGATGAAACTGGAGAAAGCGCCTCAAGAGACCTACGCCGACATCGGCGGACTCGACCAACAGATCCAAGAGATCAAAGAGTCCGTAGAGTTGCCGCTAACCCATCCCGAGTACTACGAAGAGATGGGCATTAAACCGCCCAAAGGTGTCATACTGTACGGCCCGCCCGGCACTGGGAAGACACTGTTGGCCAAAGCGGTGGCCAATCAGACGTCGGCCACTTTCCTGCGTGTGGTCGGCTCCGAACTGATCCAGAAATACTTAGGCGACGGACCGAAATTGGTTCGCGAGCTGTTCCGCGTGGCCGAAGAGCACGCGCCCGCCATTGTCTTCATCGACGAGATCGACGCCGTCGGCACCAAAAGGTTGTTACTCTTAACACTACTCTTCTGTTTTCCCATTTGTTTTTATCGTTGAACTGATTCAGTAGTTCTTGAGATGTTGTTTGGATTTTTTTAGTTTTAATTTAAGCCAAAAACTTAATTAACATTTGCGTTAAATTGCTTTTGTATTGAAACCCAAATAATGAAATTGTATTGAAATGTTAACATCAGATACGACTCGAACTCTGGCGGCGAGCGTGAGATCCAGCGGACAATGTTGGAGCTGTTGAACCAATTGGACGGCTTCGACGGCAGGGGCGACGTGAAGGTGATTATGGCGACCAATCGGATCGAGACGCTGGACCCGGCGCTGATCAGACCGGGCCGTATCGACCGTAAGATCGAGTTCCCGCTGCCCGACGAGAAGACCAAACGCCGTATATTCAACATTCATACGCAACGCATGACTCTCGCCGAAGACGTCAACTTCGATGAGTTGGTGTTGGCTAAGGACGACCTGAGCGGCGCCGACATCAAAGCCGTGTGCACTGAGGCCGGCCTTATGGCCCTTCGCGAGCGCCGCATGAAAGTGACGGCCGAAGACTTTAGGAAATCCAAGGATAATGTCCTCTACAGGAAGAAAGAGGGAACGCCTGAAGGACTATATTTATAGACACAAGCGTTTTGTGTGTAGTATTTGTCTCATTATATATTTCTCTGTCAATCATTGGTTTTTATTTTTAACTCGATTTTAATTAAATTAAATTAATAATAAAATTGATTACAAATAATGTTTTTTACAAATTAATTAATTGAGAATTATTTGCATATATTTATAATGCGATTGAATGGTGGGTTGATTTAACTATAATCAATAGTTTAGGGCAACTATTAGTACAGTGTATATCAATTCTCTGGCAAAAGTAGATTATTCAATGAATTTATTGATTAAAAATGTTTTAATTATAGATTTATTTCAATTATAAGATGTACTGGAGTTTAATGTACTAACGATTAAACACAACACAAACTTTTAATTAATTTAGTACACTATATGCGAGTACTGTATTGCTGTTAGTAATGAATGTCTCAATTGATCTCAATAAGTGTTACACAGAATCCACTGTTAAGTAAATGTTTTTAATATCGATTTCTGTTATAATCAACGACTTGTTGTGACACTTGTATTGACACATAAATCCCATAAATATTGAGTCCATATACGAGCGGACGAGTCGACTAAATGGCATACATCTCATATACGCATACATATGCCTACCTGTGCCACAGTTGGTATGGCCTACTCATTGAATACCTCCCCTACCTTTGGTTCTCTCCATTATTTAATTAATTGTTATCTACGTTAAAAAAAATTACAGTCAATTCTTGATATCGATAACACATATTCTTGTGATTCTAACACCAAAACCAACAAAAAAAACAGTCAAATTCTTGCACACCAGGCATTAGACCAGAATATTTTTAATAACTATTTCAATATTTAATACTATTGTCGAGAATCTCATAAATTATATGTTCAAACATGAGATAACAAATACAGATATCGGTCGCATATAATTTTTATACGTGTAATTCACGTGTAAAAAAGGTGTACAATAATTTGATACATGTATACCATAGACTAGTCTAATTTATTAGAATAGGTTTGTTTTTATCATGTTTATTGTAAACCAAATGGGAGGGAGAGAGAGAGAGAGAGTTGTAGATGTGCTCTGGTACAAAATAGTGTGGTACTGGTATACCACAGATGCAATAACGCACAGATAGACTCCCCCTCTGATAGGCAACGGTATTGTCTCGACGACTACAGCAATGGTTTTGAAGGAAACGATATGGCATTAGAAAGCGATTCAATGGCACGAAAGCCAATAAATGGTGACATTGAGAGCAATTGAAACTGAATTCGAGGCCAATATATGGTTCAATCGACGATCTGTAGTGCTCTCAAGGCCTGTGCCGGCGCTCGATGTGGGGCACAGGCTCTCAATCTGGAGCACTATATTCCCAATGAGAGAGTCAGGCAATTCCAAAGCCATACACAACACACTATATATAACATTACATTGAATATACACTTCAGTTCACTATAAGCAATAGGAATACACTATAGGAATCTCTTAGCCTTGACATTGATATCTCCCTTACACTAACTTTATATACGTTTATATATAATAATATCAATTTGATTATACATTTACACATAATTTACAATTACAACTATATTTGCGCTCAAAACTTGGCTATTTATGCGCAATGATTGCCAGCACTGGTGTCTCAGTTTGTTGTTCACACATCAGCGCACACTTCAGTGTCTCCTACACTGCCATCACCGCCACCGACAACAATACACACCACCGCAGCTGCTCTTCGCATACCAGTCCTCTCACTTTCTAACAGACATACCATACTCTGGATAACACTCTGTAAGTACTGAAGTCTGTCTACAAAAATATTTGTCTATTATTTAAAAAATGAGAGAAAAAAAGTTTTGTTAACTTATGTTTTTGCGATCAAAAAATACTTTTCCGCCGAAAAAAATCTATAGAGAAATGGCAGCAATTGCAGCGAAAGTACCGAATCTAACCCTCAATGACGGCCACAAGTTTCCGATTGTGGGTTTGGGCACATATGAGGCGCCGCCCGGTGTTGTCGAGAAAGTGGTTCGGGTGGCCATCGATGCCGGCTATCGGCACTTCGATTGCGCCGACTTTTACGAGAACGAGCACGAAGTGGGACAGGCGTTGAGGGACGCCATACGCGACGGCAAAGTGACTCGGGATCAGCTTTTTATCACTACAAAAGTGTGGCCCAATTGGCACGGCAAAGGCAGACCCACCAAGAGCATTCAACGCAGTCTCAAGAATCTAGGTTTTCCATATGTGGACCTATTGCTCATCCATTGGCCGACACCTCTTAAACAAGTGGACGACGACTTCTACCCCCAGGACGCCAACGGACAGGCATTGTTTGATGAATCCATACAATTGATTGATGTCTGGAAAGAGTTTGAACAGATCAAGCGAGATGGTATGTGNTAACACATATTCTTGTGATTCTAACACCAAAACCAACAAAAAAAACAGTCAAATTCTTGCACACCAGGCATTAGACCAGAATATTTTTAATAACTATTTCAATATTTAATACTATTGTCGAGAATCTCATAAATTATATGTTCAAACATGAGATAACAAATACAGATATCGGTCGCATATAATTTTTATACGTGTAATTCACGTGTAAAAAAGGTGTACAATAATTTGATACATGTATACCATAGACTAGTCTAATTTATTAGAATAGGTTTGTTTTTATCATGTTTATTGTAAACCAAATGGGAGGGAGAGAGAGAGAGAGAGTTGTAGATGTGCTCTGGTACAAAATAGTGTGGTACTGGTATACCACAGATGCAATAACGCACAGATAGACTCCCCCTCTGATAGGCAACGGTATTGTCTCGACGACTACAGCAATGGTTTTGAAGGAAACGATATGGCATTAGAAAGCGATTCAATGGCACGAAAGCCAATAAATGGTGACATTGAGAGCAATTGAAACTGAATTCGAGGCCAATATATGGTTCAATCGACGATCTGTAGTGCTCTCAAGGCCTGTGCCGGCGCTCGATGTGGGGCACAGGCTCTCAATCTGGAGCACTATATTCCCAATGAGAGAGTCAGGCAATTCCAAAGCCATACACAACACACTATATATAACATTACATTGAATATACACTTCAGTTCACTATAAGCAATAGGAATACACTATAGGAATCTCTTAGCCTTGACATTGATATCTCCCTTACACTAACTTTATATACGTTTATATATAATAATATCAATTTGATTATACATTTACACATAATTTACAATTACAACTATATTTGCGCTCAAAACTTGGCTATTTATGCGCAATGATTGCCAGCACTGGTGTCTCAGTTTGTTGTTCACACATCAGCGCACACTTCAGTGTCTCCTACACTGCCATCACCGCCACCGACAACAATACACACCACCGCAGCTGCTCTTCGCATACCAGTCCTCTCACTTTCTAACAGACATACCATACTCTGGATAACACTCTGTAAGTACTGAAGTCTGTCTACAAAAATATTTGTCTATTATTTAAAAAATGAGAGAAAAAAAGTTTTGTTAACTTATGTTTTTGCGATCAAAAAATACTTTTCCGCCGAAAAAAATCTATAGAGAAATGGCAGCAATTGCAGCGAAAGTACCGAATCTAACCCTCAATGACGGCCACAAGTTTCCGATTGTGGGTTTGGGCACATATGAGGCGCCGCCCGGTGTTGTCGAGAAAGTGGTTCGGGTGGCCATCGATGCCGGCTATCGGCACTTCGATTGCGCCGACTTTTACGAGAACGAGCACGAAGTGGGACAGGCGTTGAGGGACGCCATACGCGACGGCAAAGTGACTCGGGATCAGCTTTTTATCACTACAAAAGTGTGGCCCAATTGGCACGGCAAAGGCAGACCCACCAAGAGCATTCAACGCAGTCTCAAGAATCTAGGTTTTCCATATGTGGACCTATTGCTCATCCATTGGCCGACACCTCTTAAACAAGTGGACGACGACTTCTACCCCCAGGACGCCAACGGACAGGCATTGTTTGATGAGTCCATACAATTGATTGATGTCTGGAAAGAGTTTGAACAGATCAAGCGAGATGGTATGTGCGCTTATTTATTGTAATTATCCTTGCTTATACTTGTTTATTATTGGTGATTTTCCATGTCAGTAATGTATTATTTAATTATTAATTATATAACTTTTTGGTATCAATACTTTAAAATTTATTGATTACTTGATAGACTAGTATTAAATTTACAATATTTATTGAATTAATACTAAACAGATTTTAATTTGTTTGACATTGATTGTTAGACTTGTTATTAATCGTGTTTAGCATTCCTATATAAATAATATTTGTAATATTTCAACAAATATTTATAAAAAGAGATATTTATGAGTTTTATTTTTATATTGTATACAATATCAAGGATGTATTTCTGTTTTTGTCGCATATCTTCATTTAAAACTCATTTCTAGACATTTAAAACAAATATCATTTAACAGAAGGAAAATTACTGTTAATTAATTAACAAATATATGGCAATAGAGATATTTAATTTTATCATTAAATTAAAAAATAATAATTTTTATTTAATTTTTAGCAGTTTTGAGAACTTTTTATCAATTAAATAAATACAACAGATTATCATAAAAGTTAATGTTAGCTATCAGAAGGAACATTGTTTATCATGGTAAAAAGTTTATTTAATTATCACTACACAAATAATTATCAATTTATATAAAAAAAATCCAGATAAGAATTTTTCGATATTAATTAAATAGTAATAATAAAGAGTAAATTAATTGCAATTAATTAATTTGTAAATTAACCTAAAATGATGTCATTTGTGTGCCACAGGTCTGACCAAATCAATTGGTGTTTCAAACTTTAATTCGCAACAAATCGATGACTTGATTAAGAACTCGTCAACAGTTCCGGCCGTAAATCAAGTGGAATGTCATCCGTATCTAAATCAGGACAAACTGTTGCAGTGGTGTCGCCAACGGGGCATACATTTGACCGCATACTCACCGCTGGCCAGGACTGGAACCGTCGAAGAGAAGAACACCACTTCGCCGCTCGACATACCGTTGATCAAAGAGTTGGCCGTGAAGTATGGCGTGAGTGCGGCCGCCGTTTGCATCAAATGGCAGACACAGAGAGGAGTGGCAGTGATTCCCAAGAGCGCCACCAAAGAGCGGATCGTCGCTAACATCGATATATTCCACTTCAATCTGACCGACACCGAAGTGCAGGCCATTAACGCGCTCAACAAAGACTGGCGTAACAATACGTGGTCGCAGTTTGGCATCAATAAGCACAGAAACTGGCCCTTTCATATCCCCTTCTAAACACATCCCTGTGTAAACACATTTATATCGATGAATTATGTAACTTATAATTCATATAAGCCTTGAACGAGCAGTTAATCAAAAGTAAATAATTAAAATAAAAGTGCAATAAAAATAAAATTTAATTAAATGTGTATTTTTGAAATTTTTATTTATTTTTAAAACTAAAGAAAGTTAACAAATAATGAAGAATTAATTGAATAATTATTCTTATATTTTTGAATGCAATGCTTTATTATATTAATAAGAGTTTATTAAATATGATTATGGTGGTTTGGTTGAATTTATACTAATACAGTATATAACAGTTAATATATCAAATACTTGATTTTAAAATAATTTTATTTAAACAGATAATTAGCGGCAAATGTATTGTTCACATATTGGATGGAAATCACAAAACGTTTTTTGACAATAATCCGCACCACATCTCCACATATATCGCTGATTATATTTAATCAAATAATTAATTATTAAAAAATTGTGTAATAATTCTGTTTACAACATAATTATGTACACATATTATTAATTACAATAATTAGTATTTAGTAATGTTTTCTCACCTAATAGATTTTGTTAGTTGAGTCAATTTAAGAATTAGTATTAATAATAAACTATAAATGAATCAAATTAACAAATTTAAGTTCATATCTGCAAGTTATAAAAGAAAATTTTTATTTTATGGTTAAATATTTAGTGTAATATTGGATATCACAGAGTATTGGCTTTTTGGCAATATCTTTGGCATTGTTGTAGAAATAATCGTCAGAATTGTTCAATAAATACAGTGATATTACAGACAATTCATGCAACAGTCCAGAGATCCCTTCCTATCCCTGGTCTGAAAATGTCAAAAATGAAACAAAAAAAATTGTATAATTTTATGAAAATATGAGATTTTATTGCAAATGATTTTCTTTATAAATCAATTCATACAATAAGTCCGAACTCTTTCGCTAAACTATAGAAAACAGAATCAGGTTTTTTGAGTAAATTCTTCGGCGAATCCATTTCGACAATCATTCCGTTGTCTAAAACAATAATCTTATTGTAATCCAAGACTGTATTCAATCGGTGAGCGATTGTCAGAACAGTGCAGTCACTGAACTGTTCAGCAATTGTTGTCTGAATTAATGAATCGGTTTGCAGATCGCAGGCAGCGGTCGCCTCGTCGAGCACCAGGATCTTCGTGTCCCTCAACAGAGCTCTCGCCAAACACACCAATTGTCTCTGACCTGCACTCAAATTGTCACCGCTT